ATAGAGTGTCAATTCGTATCTAGTGTCTGTACAATGTGCCTTATTATCAGGATTTTGGAAGCAATCACGTCAGCAACGTTAAAGTCATCTTAATTCATTACCTAACAGAATTCTAATTTAAAATTTGGCTACTGGTTTCATAAAACTTGAAGCCCAATTTGCAGACTCTTTGGAAAATATTATATTTTTAACTTTTTGAATTTACATGCTTATACATATAACATTTTATTTAAATATGAAAACGGATATCATTCGGGCATAGAGAATATATAAATGAAAAGTATTTTTATAGCGGCCTAAGCCAAAAATGATTTGTCCGCTTCTGCCTTTAAAAATATTATTTGAATTAATAAAATTAATCAAAAACGCAAAAAAGCATTATTTTCTGATGATTTTCTTATTTTCTGACAATAATAGGGTATTTTCAGCCAAAAATTACAAAACTAATTTAGAGTAGAAAATTCGCCTCATTCATCGGTTTGCAGGGAGCTTTAGAAAACCCATTTCAGGTTCGAATTTGGCACAAAACGCAAATAATTGTATTCAGTTTTTTACCGAAAGTAATTAGGATTATTTTTAAAAACGACCATAGTAAAAGTTTACAAAAAATTACTTGAAAAATTCACCGTCCTCATCGTTCTGAAAAGTAGTAAAAAGTTGCTCAGAAAAAATGTTAATGACCTTTTTTTATATGCGAAAATTCCAGACTTGGGTCTCGAAAAGTTTTAATAAATGAATTATACCTCATTAACCGATGCGTTATAACAGTTTGTTTTGTTATTGAACTATTAATATTACTTTTACGCCTAATGGTCTGGTTCCAATCGTCTTATAGAACTCAAATATATTTTTCGGAAAGCCAAAAGCTCATTTTTGAATACCTTAGAATTCATGTTAAAGTTCACCAGCTGAAATCGCACAATAAAAAGAAATGTAAAATATTTTTCGCGAATATTGCGTTCTTGCATAAAGTCTGTCATAAGCGAATTGCAATTTTATAAGGGTTGCAGAGAAAATTGCCATGTAGACATCGAAAATTGTATCGCAGCTATAGAAAATAGCATTGTTGGCATGAAAATTTGTATTGGAAGTTTTTATCGTTTTGTTCATTTCAACTGGTTTTTTGAGGGCTCGATATTTTCGCAATATTTTGGCTAATTGGATTTCCTAATAATACCTTATCAAATTAGATAAAAAATAATGGAAAACTTGGAATTCATTTTTGCATTGCCTGGTACAAATAATGTGTTCTTTTGTACTCGGACGAATTCAATTAAAATCCAGCGATTCTCCACCACTAATATTCTTGTGGAACATATAAATCTCCACAAACAATGGAGACCTTTGTCACGAAAGCAAAGCTCATAACAATAAATTTCTCGATCAACGAATAGGGAAAATAATGAAGTTTTCTTTGAAAGGGAACTCGATTAAGAGTACATTTAAAGATTGTAACCTAGAAAAATTATCTAAAATATTTTTATTGATATCTTGATTTATTATATGTTCATAATTGATCTGTTTTAAATTGAATCGCAACATTTGGTCATCATGCAGAGTGATTTTTGACCGATCTGGAATTCAGACTCTACACACAATACTTTTGTTTCAGATTTAGAGTTCGACTTCTTATATTCAAATGGATATATCATCTTAACATTAAATCAGTTCTATTTTTGAGCTTCTACGCGTCTTTTTATAGTAATTAAAATCGACTAAAATCTTTTTTTTCAAGCAAAGCAAAAGAAAGATTAATAACTAAAAGCTCATTGTGAAGATAGAAGGTATCTGAAATTAAAATCAATCAGGGCCCGCTTCAGAATTTAATTATAAATTAGCGGAGTTAATTTTTACTATGTTTCGAGTTAATATTTTAATGAAACATGATTTATAAGTATTATTAAATAATAAAATATTAAAAACACTAAGAATTTCTTTCAATTATAAATGGAGAATTTTACTTTTGAGAAAAGTTAACTCTCATGGACATAGCTACTTATTACTATATTTCAGTATATAGAGATCTAGCACTTTTAAGAGAGATAAACAATATAGATATGATATCGATAGCAAAACAACAGTTAACAGAATAATTCCGACATAATATCTGACAATAACTCATCAACGAACATACGAAATTAGAATAAAAAGCGCTCAACAAATTTCATCAAAATGAAACAGTTTATAAACGTTTTGGCGACCTGATTTGTGAAAAACATATTTTCCATTTTCAACTTCAAAACTCAATACGATATATAGCAAATTAAACTTTCTGTAATTTGAAGCGGCTTACTCTATTATATGTTCACTCTTGTAGCCTGAGGAACAATGTCTCGTGCAGCTTTTGAGGTTGTTAATTATTTAAATGTAACTGAAACATTGTGCAGGAGTCGTCAACTTTAACAATCATTTGTGCCGCCTAACTAGCAAACTCGAACGAGGTAAAACTCTCATTGGTAACTCGAACGGAATAATTACACAACTTTTGAATTATTCATTCTGAATACACATTTTCATATAATAGAAAACGATATTTTATAATTGGGAGGTTTGCGAAAGCTTCCTTGTAGACTTACCTACATGTTTGCAAGAGTTACGCATCTCTTAGCTTTTGTTAATAAATGATTAGTTTATACTCTCTAAAGTCTGGGAACTCAAAACTGTTGACGTGACAATGCGTATTGCGTTAATTTAAATATGTTTGTTTTTTCTTGATACGTTTTAAAATATTACTTTGCACTCGTATAACATAACTAAAAAAAAAAAATTCTTTAAGGCGATATTCCGAAGCACTGTTAGGATATTTATTCTTAAGATAATATCGAGATTCATTGACTTAAACGCTCAACCAGCGCCTTTCAGTTCTTGCTTTAGGGCTCACAAAGCATGTATCGCTCATTCAAACTGGCGATTATTAAACAAAAATGTTTTTACGTGTTTAAGATTTCAGTGAAGACCAAATCGAAAATCAAGTTTTCCAATGTAAACCCTTTACCAACAATTTATCGTATTATAAAGTATTGATAAGTACATTTCAACTCTACCAAAACGGTGCACCAATAATAAATAATTCTATCTTCGCTGTTCTAAAATTGAAAAATTAACACTCGATGAACATGCTGCAATCCAAATTAATTCGACCTATTTAGATCCATAACATTCCATTTTGTGCAATTTTTGATGTTTTGATTACGAATGCGATGAAATTATCATTGAATATAAAAATGAAATATTTTTACAGCGACTGAAATTCGTTTCGTTAGTTGAGATTGTTGGCGCGTACGAATTTTAATTGTTTCGGTCTCATGGCCACTTGAATTTCAATACAAATTCTATCTAAACGACATGCAAAATTTCCATTTTTATTTGATTTTGTTTGCAGAGATAAAATCTGATCGACATGGAATCGTTAGTATTTTTAAACTGTGTCGGCGCATAATTTACTAATCTGTTGTTTGATTTTCAGGTATGTGGCCTATTTCATAAAATAGTTCAGGATAAGAACTTACGAGGGTAAGTGGGTCTTTATTATCGTCTCGTCAAAATATACTTTAAAATGTGTATTTCTTGGTTACAGTATGACTTGTTTGGCATGATTTCTGCAAATGCAATAAATATAATTTTTGAATGCTGGACAGCCTTTAAATTTGTAACGGCATTGTGCATCATAAATATAAAAATACATAATTACATAGCTAAAATACGGAAAGTAAGTCGGCACATAATTTTCTTTCAAAATTGAAACGAGTATAATTAATGGCCCATATTAATATTGCAATACATATTTCGGAAATATTTCAGCAATGTGTAATTACAGATAACAGATAGAAGCAAATCAAAACGACAATTTTCGACAAAGCTAGCAATTTTTATGGGGGTTTTTAGATGAAACTTTATTCAGATTTTTTAGATTATTCTGCTGTGACCAAACAACTTTTGTGATATGGAGTGTCTTACGAATATTTAAGATCACTTCCGTTTGGTCAAAACAATTTCTCCAATAATACAAAGAGAGGGTCAAAAAAATTAAGTAAATCCACAATTCAGAGCTTATATGTCGCAATTGAACTCTATAGACAAACTTTAGCTTGCCCTTGTGCCTGTGTGTTAAAACAAGTCTTCATTCATCTCAAGAAATATATTATTTTTGTACCAAACCCATATTTTAACATTTATTTCCCAATTCCCAATAATTAAGGCAAAAACAATAAAAAGGTGCCCCTCTGCTCCAATTGCTGCAAACGAAATTTCACTCCTTTTTGTGATCATTTAAGAATATTATATCGGTGAAGGTAAACATGCTATTTGGCCGTTCTTAATGACTCAAGTTCGTGCTTGAGCCAAATTGGATTTTTTGGCACTTAAACTGTTGGTACTTATTTGAGGAGAGAGAAGCATTGAAGGAAAATTGTTTATTTCTATATGTAGACTTTTTTGCAAGAGAAATGATTCGTATAAAGCAAAATAAATTTAAATCTACATATTTTCATACCCAATAATTATGTACTACCACTTACACATTTATTGATTACTGAGCGGTGAATTGAACAAAGTTTTAGTCAACTGACAAATAAACTATAAGACAAACTTTAAACAATTTTTAATGTTTTATTAAACATTTTATTTCTACAATGACCGCCCGCTGTTATTGATAAGATGATATTTGAGTATAACATTCTGTTAATATTAAAGTAAGCTGCTATCAAGACATCGGGACATGTTGGGCAGAAAAGGACATAAAATTCAGGAACGGACGCAAAAGGTCGCAAACTCAGAGCACATTTTGGCTGCAAAACAAACATTTTGGTCTTTGTGTTCTAATAAATTACAATTGAAATAAATATTGAAAATTTGGTCTAAGTTTTTCAATTTGAATAATTTGCTCGTCATTTTCCTTGACAATAAAACATATTTGTGGTATTTAAATAGGGTCAATTTTAATCAAACAACTCCTTTATTTCGAATATGTATATAAAAATATTAAAACTTATAATGTTGCATCAAAAAAATATAAAACTTGAATAAGTCTAATACTTTATGCATCTTATGTATGTACACTTTGTAATTTCAGTATAATATAGTCTATAATCAAGATTGGACGTTTCTTCTAATACGAAATTTATATATCTAATAAATATTATCCACATTTTTAATATACATTTTCAACAGAATTTAAATGCAGTTCTGTCTTAGTCTCGTTTTTGTCTGCGTAAGGCAGCAGCAAAGTCATTATTCTCCTCCCATTAGAGCACAAAATTAAATAATTGCTCACGTAATAATTAATAAGACTATTTAGGTTGCTAAAACACTTTTCATTGTTTTTCTCTCTGCCCAAGGCGATACAATTATCTTGCTCCCTCCTTCGGATTTTCAAGTGAAAAATTCGCCTGTCCTGGACGAGGGACAGGGTCCCCAGTTTGGACGTATTGGACGGCCTTATAATGAACGTTCCGTTCTGTTGATTCTTCAGAAGTTTTTCAACCATTTCCCTGCTGACATCCTTGTAAAAGGCTTCGGACGTTTCCTTAATCATCTCTGAAAAAGTTAAATAGAAGTGAGTTTTCGGCGTTAAGAATCAATAACTCTTCGCTAAGTGATTATTTAAAGCTGAAAGCGATGGACTCTGAACACTTTTCTATGCTAAATGCTAATGTACAGGGTTGACTGAATTTTGGATAACGCTCAAGCAGAAACATTGTTAATTTTAGGATAAGATGTTTAATGCGGAATTTGTGACCGCTCATCTGAAACTCACTCCCTGAAGCTCACTCATTCTGAAATCCGAAATCTTCTGAATCAAAAATCATCTCAATCATCAATCAGAAACTTTCGTTGAGGCAAGGGTCTGGAAGTTACGTCACTAATTACGGTTTTTCACAAATTACAAATTAGAATACAAAATCATAAAACATTTAAATTTGTATGAGTGTTTCATGCAAAATAACTCGGGCAATTACGCTGAAAATATATGCAAAGAAAACAAGCCTACGATGTGCTGAGAGACAACAAAGTTAAAGGTAGAAGTCGCAATCTCACTTCAACAAATTAATAATCATTTGAAGTGCTTTGACAAGAGAGTCTTAATCACAAAGATGATTCTTCAGCCATAGACTTTAAACGGAAATCAGAAATGTAATTTTATTGAAATTTTTTATTTACAAGATAAAACCATACCATTCTTAAAACTTTGAAAAATATTGATTTTACTATAATGGAAATATTTAATTGAAATATTCAACTCAAGTTCTTTTAAGTGTTAAGTTAATTAGCGAAGGTCAGAATGGTTGAGAGTTCAAGCTGCGATTAATTGTTGAATAATCGGATATTTCCGATAATATTTTTATACATTTCGACTTGCGATTTTCGAAGTTTTGCCGAAAAGCTTTTATTTTTCAATGATTATCAAAAATAGTCAATCAAAGAAATGTCTAATTCTCACCACATGTTGCGGGATCTGTCCGATGTGCACTAAAGCAACAAAAAATACACATTTTGTAACCCACATCAATTGCCAGCGAGCACAATCTTCTTGTGAGATTCGCCAAAACTCTGTAGATCACTTTAGAGCACAAGCACATCTGTTTGCAAGTACTGTTCATACTGTTTTATCTTACGCTTTGCTTAAGATTATGATCAGCTACGACAACTATAAAACTCAACTAGATGCATCGTTTAGCAATAGTAAATAGGACCGCAATATTTTTGTGCCATCTGGATCCAAACCATGGAGGGTGTCAAGTTTTCGGATAAAACGATCTCTAATGTGGGAATTTCCGCCATCGGTGCCATGAAGAATTTATTTCAACACTACAAAAAGGCTGATATTTTTGCGGCTAGTGCATTTTTTTTTAGATAGTCGTGAAAAATACCAATTTACCTATGAATACATACAGGGTGATTCAAAATTGGGGTCCTTCCTCTGGAGGTGATTTAGATCAGATTTTAGGTTCCTTCGTAATTATTAAAAACTTCGATAATCATGGATAAATACGGAGTGGCATAAAATAGATTTTTTTCCTCCTACTTTTTCGAAATATCCGTATTGTCAACGAGAAATTGTTTTTTATTGTCATCATAACCTCGAATTAATTGTGTCTATTATATATAAACATAAATTTCTGTCTCACTCAAAACAAGTTAGTGCCTGTGTAATCACTTTATTGTGTACTCACAATTAACTCCTGCTCAATTTGAACCGGTGTTCAGTAAACCAGCTATGACTAAAATCTTATTACGTTCAAAATCATGATCGTGTCGATTTGTGTATTTTGTTAACCAAATACTTTGGTTTTAAGAAAATACTAAAAAGTTTGAGAGTATATTGAAAAAAACCATTCAATTGTTTACTCGAACGCGACAGTTTTACAAGCACTTGAGGTATTATATAGCGGCTGTAAAATCGAATTTGACTAATGTTATTGATAAACGTTCCCTCACTAAGACCCTCAAAATAGCTGTCCCCAGCCTAGCGGTCTCGGAGGACACAAAATCGTTTTCTGTTAAAATATTTTTTCACGGCCGAGGTAGAACCTACGTGACTATTTCTAGTCTTTAACACTTAGTTAAAATATTTGCATATAATTGGAAACCATTTGTTATAGTAATGAATCTATTTTGATGCAATGAGAAAGTTCCTTAGTCAGTGGCGCAAGTTACTTTTTACCTAAGATAATAAAATATTATGGGCTTCTAAGGTGGGCGTAAATTTGGATTCCATTAAGATTTTGTAAATATTGTCATAGCTTCTGCGTAATTTTACTGAAAATAAAAATAAATGTTACTGCATGACACTTAAGTTGCATTTTCTATATTATTACACTTGCAAATCTTTTCAGGCACTCTCAGCTGTGTTTAAGTATAAGGGTAGGATGGAATATAAGCATGCTGAATAAACGGGAGAATTTTCAAAATGTATTTTTTTTATTGTAGTGAAGAGGCTTTTTTGAAGTAGCAAAACGTTTTTTTTTTGGAATCCAATTAAAACTAGTGAAACTCAATCGCCATTAAACAAAAAGCTCCAAAATTACTGCACGAGTCATAACTAGATTATTTGCCAGAATCAATTAGTTCCATATGTTTTATGCATAGATTCCCGCGATTACACAATTTGAAGCCAAATGTTCATTCGTGTAATACAATTTAACATTTGAAACAGCTAAAAGTGCAGAATATAAGTAAACCTATTATAAAAATAACCATGTAGTTACTTTGTTAGTCATAAATAAAACTATTTTGGGCAAGTATCTTAACTTAAATCTTGCATATTGTGGGTCGGTGTTTATTTTTTTTTAAGTTTTTAAGTTTTTTTTTCCCCAAATTTTTAAGACCTATATAAGAACGCATCTGACAACTATTACTTACGCAATGCAAAAATAAAAAAATACATATCTAGCTGAGCTATAAGGCAGCTATTCAACAAATATTTACTAGCAAATACTTCATTTTTCTAATAAATGTACCGGCCAGTTATTGGGTTAATAGATCGAATTTTAACCCAGCATGGCTACCAATAGAAAATTTTTGAAGGACATCTTAATTGTTCATTCTTTCAGTTACAATTTAAATATATAGAAAACATAGGGCTGACGGTATGCGTAACAATGGTTTAAAAACATTCAAAATAAGAGCCGCAAAACATTGTGCTCTAGAACGCCGTAAATTTGTAATGGAAAACCTAATAAAGGAACTTCCGAATTATATTTCGGGTTGCCATTTAATTTTGCTTGAAAGGGAGCTTGAAACTGAACGAAGAATGCCGCTGGTGCAAATGTCATTTAATGCCACATGATAGTATTAATTTTTTCAAGTGCAGCAGCAGTAGTAAACTACATATTTTTATTGTGGTTCTTATAACAGTTCTAACGCCTGTAAAGAATATTCGATTCGCATAAAAATGAGCAACATGGTTTATTAAATGTTTTTCGAGTTTTTGTGACACAACTGAGAAAAAGTTTCCCACATTGCCCAACTAATCAAGATATATTAGATTACTTTTACACTTACGGCAAGAGCTTCGGGCTTGCTTCTTAAACGACGTTAGATAGGTTATGCAGTGTTAAGGAGGTATATTCTTCTAAGATACTATAAATAAAACACCGTCTTGTGACATCGAGTAGGGAAATATATTTCTTATGATAAATCAGTTGACATGCATTATATATATACAACTCTTATATGAATAATCGTTTCGTATTATTGCTAAAATACTATGTACGCTTTTGAAGATTAGCTCTTAGACTAACAATTAGTTACTTCTAGTATTTGAACAAATAATTCGTTCAGTCTCTTCCCAGAATTGATTGTCCTGACTAATCACCTGTTAGTCCTAATTAATCTCAGAATGTTTTAAAGTGTTGCAATTGTAATGTATTTTAGTGTGTGATATGATGAAGCTGTTCACAAACTGTGATTGTTTTTTAGATTAATGGAAACAATTTTTTTTACTATCTGTTATTTTAGAGAAACTGATGATGGTGGAAAACACCGAAACGTTTTTTAATTGATAAATAGACAATAAATGACTGAAGTCCAGGAATTGAATTTGATTTGGAACTAACAATTAGCTCATTAGGCTGCATTAAATAATTATTATTTTTAAGCTCATATCTTCCATTCAGCGAACAAACTAGAAGGCGGCTTGTGTCGGAAACACGTAACCAAGAATTCCCTGGATGCCACACATTCGCCTGGACGTTCATTCGCTTGCTTGTAATTCACGTGACGAACAGTTTCGGTTTCCTGGTAGAGAAACACGCGAAACACGGTTAATCTAGATATTTCTTGTTAGACTCTTTCATATCGCAGCATCAATTTTTGTTCACAATTTGTTTAAGGAACGCTGTATTCCAATTTTGTCACATAGGTTTGAAAAGAAAAACGTTGAAGAATACGATAACTATTGCAATAAAAGACGAGAACATCAGTCAAACGATCTATCAATTCAGAAAATGCAGTTATTTCTTAAAATAAATGTGACAATCTCCACCTTGGAAGTTTAATTTAAAATCAGCAGTCAAAATTCTTGTAATTTATGAACCTTGACACGTGATTCAATATCTGTACCTACCTCGCAACTTGCGTGTCAAATTAGTCAGATAACTACGAATAGTGGCACGACATTTCTCTGGATATTACATTCAGGTCTCAATTCTAGAAAATCATTACCAGATCCTTTGAGGATGTTGAACCATGTGTCAGTGACACAATTACATTTGCTACAACGGTATCTTGCTTTAGATGCATGCACTGTCTTTTCATATCTTTGTTAAGCGCCACTGAGGGTACATTTCGTCCCCGACATGTTCATCAATTTCCTAAAGTAGTAGTTTATTCTTTTCTGAAGAAATGTCACACGATACGACCTTTGAAGGGGTTGCTAATTTGTGTTTCTAATATTTAATTTGAAATATTGCAGTATTAGGCCGCACGAGTTTTCACGTCATTTGATCAACGAAAGCAGAAGTTTTGCTAGAAGTGTACATCTGAAAATGTTCTTTTGTATCATTAGTTGACAGAATAAACACCAAGCTAGACTACAGCTACATCTGAACGCAGAAGTCCGCCAGCTGCTAGATGATCAGAATTTATACCGCAGATTGAAGAGAACTAAGTCTTTTGAATTGATATAGTGTTTTAAGGGCAGAGCATGGTGTGCGTGTAAATATTGTCAATCTTCTGTGAGGCTAAAACTTGGAAAGTCAATGGACTGACTTAGTTAACTACCCTAATTTTAAGATTACAGATAAAAACTGATGGTTGGTCATGCTTGACTAGTTTTAGTAAATAATATTAATAAATAAAAAAAAATTGACAGAATATGCGGAGCGGCTATAATGCGTGCGGGTCTCTGTCCAGAGATGTTCAGTTTCGAATTGTGTGGTACTGTCACAAATACTTATGCGTGATTTTATTCTTTGGGAAAGCAACTACATTCAGCAATAATTACAGTCTAAAGACAATGTGATGGGCTTGAGTATTGTCTAATTTTAAAAATTAGTCCCATACAATCAACAATGCACAAATACAAAAAGGGAGATCCATTACTTTAGTACTGCTACTATGGGATTTATATGAACGCATCATTAAAAACAGAATACCATAATAATAGGAAAACATTATTCACAAACTGCACAAACTTCACATATCAAAATACCGAATACACGTTGTCTTGTCAGGGACGTAGGTGCTGTAATAAATAATATAATACTAATACTAGCTTAGTAGTTAATTTGACAAAAGCAAAATAGGATTTTGACCGAAATATGAATATAATGAAGTATAATAGTAACAAAATCCATTAGAACCATAAGTACGTTACTAAGTAAGTCAGGTACTCAACCGCCATGAATGGCAGTGCCAAATACTCGACTGAAATTTGAAGCACTCGTTTCAGAATAAGCAATTATGTCTTTTGCTTGGTATTAACAAAGCGATATTCAGGTTTTATGCTGCCAAAACAAAGAAAATACATCGGCCGCGAGAAAATAATATAATGCGCTGTATCCCCAGACATGTTCCATCTCGAAACACATTTAAGAACGTAGAAAAACGATTTTGCAAATGGAAAACTTTAGAACAAAGAAGGAAACAATATTTGTTAATGAAACTGAAAATATCTTATCCACCCCACAACGCCTGATTATTTGCAAAGCACCTTCTTTAATTGACCATTTTGATATATGAATCGGACGAGTTGTTCTTATCTCATCT